TTCATACCCACCCACACATACACACACATACCCACCCACACATACACATTCATACCCACCCACATATAACATACATACCCACCCACACATACACACACATACCCACCCACACATACACATACATACCTACCCACACATAACATACATACCCACCCACACATAACCCCACATACATAACATACATGCCCACCTACAGAAAAACAGACACATACCCACCCACACACATACATATACACACATAAGGAGACACATACACACACTCCCCCCCGACTCACACATCACACACATGAGCCTGGGAGACAGGAAGCCAGCTGGCTGCAGAGAAGTGGGTGGGGGAAGAATATCTGAAAAGGGTATTGAAGAGGTGAGTAAAGGCTTGGTCTCAAGGGCTTTCTTGAATAGGACCCCAAAAATGGATTTGATCCCAAATGCCACGGGCATCTATTACAAGTTCTCGGACGAGAACAGCAAGATTCAACTTACGTATACTTAGAGCCATCGCCCATTTTGTACACACACACAGCTATGTATATGTACCTACATATATACATGTGATACATATAATTGACCTAAAATGATGTCTACCCACATCCTTCGCGGCGCGGTGGATACAGTGCTTGACTGCTAACCAAGAGCACGGGGCTCTGATCCCATCGCACACTGAGGAAGAAAGATGGACCAGCGGCTTCTGAGAAGAGGCTTCACAGCCTTGGGAACCCATCAGGGCCGGTCCACCCTGTCCTGTTGCGTCACCGTAGTCAGAATCCACTCACGGGCAATGGGTTTGTGTATCTGTCTGTCTGTCTGTCTGTCTAGGAGATGGGCATGGGTGTGGGTGACCAGTCAACCGCCCACTGCCGCCATGGCAGCAAGATCAGCTGGTGCCTTGGGCAGGAGCGGAGGCAGAGGAATAGAGCGACGAGGAAACCCAGAGACGTGCTGAAGGGAGACTGCTGCGTGGGTGTTGGCGTTGAGGACGGGGGTGCTAGGGTGCTCCAGGTGCCCACCAGGGTTCAGTTTCAGTGAGGAGTAGAAGCTGAGTCTCCCTGACCAAGTGTAAGAGTTGACCTTCGGACTTGCCCTTGGGCCATTCCCTGAGCTCCCGGAGCCGGTCCCTTGTTCAAGAGCACAGTTTTTGCTGTGCCCCTGTCTCCTGCTAATGCCTGTTCAGTCTTTCCTCCTCCTCCTCCTCCTCCTCCTCCTCCTCCTCCCCCTCCTTCTCCTCCTCCTCCTCCTCCTCCTCCTCCTCGACCTCCTTTCTCCAGTCCTCTCTGGCTCTTCTCCCTACCCTCACCCCAACCCCCACCCTGGGCCTGATGCCCTCGCCCTGCGCATCCATGCCTGCCTGTTTCTCTCCAGCTCCATTATATTCTCCATACTTGACCTGCACACAGGTGGCAGTCCTTGGCACTCCCGTTTCAGCCCTCGGTCCGTATCTAGACACTCATTTCCATGGTTACTCAGTAACGGAAGTTGCCTGGCTAGACTCTAACTTATTTAACCGTGAGATGTTTCCTTCTACAGGTCAGAGATTTCTGGTCTAACTTGTTCATGGCTTTCTCTTCAGCCCCAAGGACAGTGCCTGACACACAGGAACCCCAAACAAACCCACTGCCCCCCGGTCCCGTCCAACTCATCCAGGCTCCTCTGAGTCAGAACATCTTTGCAGGAACACAGACCCATCTTTCTCCCGAAGAGCGGCTGGTGGGTTTGAACCACCAACCTTAGCTGGCAGCCCAACGCCTACCCCACGCTGCCACCAGGGCACATAGTAGATGCCCCATAAATAGTGGTTGGAGAAAGGGATGACTCATTCTCATTGCCATGCAGCCAATGCTGCAATGCGAAATGCCATGCAATGCCAGGCAGCCAATGCTGACAGATCGGGATGGCGAAAGCCATTCTGTTGCAACCGGTTCTCCCAAAAGTCGTCCATGAATGTCCCCGGCAGTGCTGTGTGTAACCGCCCCGAAGCAGAAGCAGCCCGACTGATGGATAGACAGAATGTGGTCCATCCCTACAGTGGAAGCTGTGTTACATCAGAATGAACACCACCAAGATGAACCAGGAAAGCGTTATTCTAAGCAACAGAAGCCACTTAGGTAAAATGTGAAATGTCTTTATTAGGCTGATTCATAGAGGCAGAAAATGTTTTAAAATTGGTTGTGATGAATATCAGACATCCATCAAGACAGTCAAAATGATGTGATTTTTGTCCCAATTTTATAATCTATTTTAAAACAATCTCATGCAAACACACCAAACAACCAACCCCACTATCTCGTTTCTGGTGGGCAGCTTTTTTCCCCAGGCGACAATCTGAGAGGCCGGCCAGCAGGCACTATGGCTTCACTGAGTCAGCCAGGCAGGACTTGACCTCTGACTGTCTCTCCCGCAGTGACCGCCTCAATGGATTTGGACTTAGACCCGCGGGCGGTGTGGCAGTTCCGTAGCATGATCAAGTGCACCATCCCCGACAGTGACCCCTTGAAGGATTACAACAACTACGGCTGCTACTGCGGCCTGGGCGGATCGGGCACTCCAGTCGATGAACTGGACAGGTGAGCGATCTGGAGGGAAGAGGGTGGGCTTGGTGAGTGAGGGGCTCGTGGGGGACGGGCACGGGACAAGGATCTTACGTGGCACCGAAGCGAGGCACAGGGGGAGGATTTGCACGTTGCATGTGGACTGCGTACGTCCTAGCAGCTGCAAGAGGACCCTGTGTCCATCCCGTGCTTCCTGAAGGAGCTGGGGCAGGGAAAGCGCATCATACTGCCCTCCAGCGGCACCTAAGGGCAATGCGCACCAACACAATGGTCCAGGTGTCTCCTGGCCGCGCCCAGGGAGCCCGTTCTCACTCCCAGGGACCCGCATCCATTGCACAGACTGGATCTTCGCCACAGGGCTTCCGAGATGACAGCCTCATCTTGCTCCCACGGAGCGGCTGGTGCAATCAAACCGCTGACCTTCGATTAGCAGCCGGATTATTCTTTTTGGTTTCATTTATTTGTTTATTTAAATTTATTTTATCTTTAGGAGCCCGATTATTAACCCACTATGCCACGGGGGGGCTGGTGCTCCCAGCTGTAGTTAACCTCCCCATGCCGTCACCTCGAGAAATTTTGTTTCCAACCCACATAATACTCAATCAGAATCTACATTTTTTTGAAAAATAATATTTTTATGGGCATATCTTACTCATTCGAATATATCCCTTCCCTTCTCTTCTCATACATTCCCATCCGGTAGGGATATACAACATTAATGCTATCAACCCCCTTCCCCACCCTCCGTCACTCCCCATACCCTCAGGGAACCCTTAATGCTGTTAGTGTCACTGAGGGGCCACCTATCTTGGTTCCCATGTACCGAGCGATCTTAAATGCACAAATGAACATACACAAGTCTAACATGACCAGGGAGGTAGATCACGTACAGACTATAAGAGTAAGGGGAGGAAATAGTAAAGAACTAGAAGATAGTGATGTGGTTCATTAGTGCCACACCGCACCCCAGATTTATCCTCTACAGAATCTACATTTTCACAAGGTGATCAAGAAACGTAGATTCTGAACTTTGCAACTGAACGAACTGGTTTGAAGTCCTGCTTTAAAACGATCATTGCATCTTAAGACATATGGTTTTCTACTCTATTAATTTCTACGGAGCCCTGGTGGCATAGGGGTTCTGTTTGGGGCTGTGATCCTCCAGGTCCTCAGTTTGAAACCACCAGCCACTCTGTGGGAGAAAGCTGAGTTTTCTGCTCTGATAAAGAGTGACAGTCCCCCTCTAAAAAGAAGAGTGATGGTCCTGGAAAATCTCGTGGGCAGTTCTACCCTGTCCTATAGATGGGGTCACTATGAGTCGGCATCTACTCAATGCCCGTGAATTAGGTCATTCATACCATATTCCTAGGCGCTTGTTGGACAGTTAACTGCAAGGTGGGCTGTTCAAACCCACCAGCTGGTCTACATGACAAAGAGGAGGCTTTGTGCTTCTACAATGACTTACAGCCTTGGAAAACCTTTACAGCTTCCTTGTGAGTAGAAATCTCTCAATGGCCTTGATTTTTTACTCTAGTCCTGTTAAAATAGCTTTCAACAAACACATGATGAAAGGACCTAAATTAGAGGTGGGGGGAGGAGAGTTATTAAAAAAAACCCCACCTTATTTGTTTGTTTGTTTTTCTACAAGTCTTAGGACCATCCGTCTTAGGACATCACACCTCGACCTGGTCCTGAGAAGAAACAGAAACTAAGGCCCTGGACCCGGCTGCAAGTTCAATACTCTTCCCCTCCCCATCTAGGTGCTGCCAGACTCATGACCAGTGCTACAACCAGGCCAAGAAGCTGAGCAGCTGTGAATTCATTCTGGATAACCCCTACACCAAGACCTACAACTACAAGTGCAACAGCAATGTGATCACCTGCAGCAGTACGTCCCCACCCCTCATTGCAGACCCCAGTGCGTACTGGGGGGGGGTGGGGGGCGGGGGTTGGGGAGTTAGAACGTGATGATGTCCATCCTCTATTGATCCCTTTCCTTTGGTCAGTGTGTGTCATCTTGAATGCTATGACATCGCTATGAGATTGAGACCGTTATTATCTCTATTATCCAGATGAGAAAACTGAGGCTCAGTCATGTACCTAGGGCAGCTCCTGGGGTGGGGTGCTCATGTCTTTACCTATTTATATAATGTGGGAATAAACATAACAAAATAAACACCCACTGACCTAGCTAGCGTTGCTAGAACAGAAACGTGAGAAGGGGTGGCTTTCATAAACAGATATTTCATTTCTCACAGTTTCGGAGGCCAGGAGCCCGATTTCAAGGTGCGGCCGGGGCAGGCTTTCTCTCTCTGTCTGCTCTGAGGGAAGGAAGACCTTTGTCCCTTCTGGGCCTCAACCCCTGGGTGCCTTTCATGTGACTGGAGCGCTCTCTGCTCCCCGCCCCCCGCAAGAGTCCATCTCTTCTGCATCTCCAAAGAGACGGACTCCAGCCCAGGCCTGCACTGACCCGGACTCCTGCACTGCACACAGACGGTCCACTCCCAGCTGGGACTGTGAGCTCAGCAGCCACGTACAGCACGGACTTGGGGCCTGGGGACAGGGCAGGTGGGGACACAGTTCAGTGACATCGAACGCAACCTCAAAGACTTCTCCACATCCAATTCAGCGATGCTGTTTACGGTCTTCATGTTGGGCATCCATTTCTGCTCTCCTTTCCCACATCGTCCCAGGGGTGGCGCTTGGCTTTCGATGGTCACTCTGCTGCATGCTGACTCTGTGCTCCTGGAAGAACGCTGCCTGAGAAGGAGCTTTGAGGAGGCCCTAAGCATAGGCCCAATTCACAGACGAGGACGCTGAGGTTCAAAGGCACTTGCTGGGGCCCAAACCACAGAGCTTACAAGTGGTGGACCTGGTCATTGGAAGCCAGGCACATCTGCTCGCAAAGGCCCTGGCCTTAACCACCAAGCTCTGCAGGGGGTACTCACGGTGAGCCCTCTGTGATACTCAGGGTCAGATACCAGATTCCGTATGTAGCCCTCATGTTTGCCTTCCCGTCCCTAACTCTCCCATCCAGGATCTGCCTTGACTCCATCCTCCTCTCTCCTTGCCCTTCCCCAGGTAGCAACAATGAATGCCAGGCCTTCATCTGCGAATGTGACCGCAATGCTGCCGTCTGCTTTTCAAAGGCGCCATACGACCCGGCTAACAAGAATCTGGACTCCGGGGAGCGCTGTCAGGGCTGAGCACCCCCTCTGACCAGAGCCTTCCAGTTGCCTTTGCGTACGCCGTGCCTCCATTAAAGCACCTGTCGAAATCCCAGATGCTTTGTCTCTAGCCTCCGAGCATCGAGCATCGTGCAAGCAGCTCTGTGAGGCTGGCCTTAGGGACATCACCAGCTCCGCAGAGATTGCCGATCATTGACGCGATGGGCGCTCATCTGCATTATGCATGAGGACCTGAACCTCAGAGAAGGAGGTCCCTTGCCCAAGAGCACAGAGGTGGACGAGTCAGGATGGGACCAGATCTGTCTGATGGGAAGGTGCCCCGGGGGTGATGTGGGTGTGAGTGGGGCTGGTGGTCCAAACCGAGCAGCCACTCTGAGGGACAAAGATGAAGCTGTCTGCTCCCTACACTGTGCACAGTCTCAGAACCCATAAGGAGCAATTAGGTCCACAGTCCTGTAGGGTCTCTATGAGTCAGAATCCACTCACTTACCTGTTGGTCTCTAACCAGTAGGTGAGTGGTTCTACTCCGTCCTAGAGGGTCACTGTGACTGGTCAGCAGTGGTTTTGCTTTAGATCAGATGGAAACACCTGAACGCTGAAAGACTAAGTAAGTCGCTGGCCCATTTGCCCACCAGGTTTTGTTTATGTCTACTCTGACATTGCAGGGCAACAGAGTGAGTAGGGACAGGCAGAGGAGGAAAGTCTATCAGAAAAACAGCGACCAGGAAGGGGCAATGCTGCCTTGAAACATCTCCAGTGGGCCTCCTCAAACCCTCAGAGGCTGACGGAGGAGGGCCTGTGTATGGAATTTGACTTTGGGCCCACGTCCCCTTTGCTGTGAATATTGCTTTGCGTTGGGCCAGGCCAGACTGCTCCTTGGAAGCCAGGATGGCGAGAGTTCGCCTTCCATCCTTTGGACCATTTTACCTGGGCGTCCAGTCCCTAGAGAAGGACATCATGCTTGGGAAAGCAGAGGGGCAGCAAAAGGAGAAGGCCTCACCGTGACAAAGACCACAAGCTCAGGAACAACTGTGAGAATGGCCGGGACTGGGCAGGGTCTTGTTCTGTGGAAAGCAGGGTCACTATGGGTCGGAACCAACTCATGCCACCGAACAACAAGTGAACAAACGGAGGTGTGGTTTCCCCTAATGGTCACAGCGGCCTTCTGTCAAGATAACAAAGGGGCTGCTGTTGGCTGCTACCCAGTCAACTCTGATCCGGCCAGAGAATGCTCCTGTCAGCTGCCAAGGCTGCGGCCTTTGGGAGGCAGGTGACCAGGCCTGTCTTCCCAGGTGCCCCTGGGGGGTTCACACAGGACTAGATGCACTGTCACGCAGTTGATGCCGACTCAGCCTGACCCTATAGGGCAGGGTAGACCTGCTCCCGTGAGTTTCCAAGACCATCACTCGTCACAGGTGTAGAAAGCCCCATCTTTCTCCGGGGGAGCAGCTGGTGGATTCAAACTGCTGACCTTGAGGGTTGGCAGCCCACCTGTTAGCACTATGCTACCGAGGCTCCGTTTTAGGGCCTCAGTTATCATCAAATTACCAAATAAGCCGAAGTGAAGGTGACTGGCATCCGGGCTTTCATCCAAGAAGTGCTAATCTCCTCACAGCGCCACGCAATTCCCACACGTTCATGAAAGTATTGCTCAATTTGGGCACCAACAGTCGCAGTCCTGGGAAAACCACGTGGCCAGAGTTACTCTCCTTTGGGCAGAACATCAAACAACCCACGTGACTCAGTTACCCAAACCTAGATCATCTTTGGGCCAGAGGGACTTCTGAAAAAGGCAGCAGGTGCACAAGTGTCTCTGGGTCCGGTCGCCGTTTCCTATTGGTCAGGTTGGCCCCGCCCCCGGACAGCCCAGGCCCCTCCCACCCTGCGCGGGCCCGCACCCTGCACCCTGCGCAGTCCCCCCTCTCGCGCGGCGCAGTGGCCATTGTGAGAGTTGGCTAAGAGAGTTGCAGGCGGCTGTGGTTCTGCTGGCGACCCGGCGCCCGCTGCTTCCAGTTCGGAGCCTGAATCCCGTGGGAAGGACCAAGTGAAAGGTTTGAATGTGGAAAGCAAGTGGTCTAGCAGGGCTGCTCGTCCCTCCGGGGGTCACTCAGTGCCCCCCTCCCCTCGGCACTCCCCTCCCGTGTTCCCAAGTTCCCTCCTATCAATTCCAGTTGGTAACTATGGCCATGGTTTGATTCCAGTCTAGGGAAGGAGGCTGGTTAGGGATGGCCTAGAAAGGACTGTGGGTAACCCAAAAAGGGCCTAGGAAGCGGGATAGCTAGGAAGAGAGGTGAGTGGATGTTGAGGGAGCCAAGGGTCTCTGTGGCACCCAAGTCCATACTCAAATCCCCCTCCCCATGATGGGGGATAAAGAGATGGGAGTCTGACCCCCATACGTAGGGGTTACTTAGTGCCTCTCTTTGGAGAACTCACCTTTCCCCCTCTACCCACCAGCTGCTCAGTGGTCTGGGATTCGTCTTTCAGGACCTAGACTGGGTCACTCGTGGAAGTTTCTTAAGCCCTGTCTTTCTTCCCAAGGTACCTTAGGGTAGTTCTTTATTGCACTGGCTCTCTGCAGCGTTCAGGGGGGGAGAGGGGGGCGCTCCGAGAATCAGACAGACTGGGTTGGAGTTCAGGCCTGATCACCCTAGCTGACCTTGGGCAAGTTACCTGAGGTCTCTGAGCTTCAGGATCCTCATTTTTCAGAATCAATCCGAGGGCTTGTGTTATTGGAGTGTGGGGATTAAGTCAGCGAATGTGTTGTAAAATGTTCGGGGGAATGGGAGGGGCACTTCTTTTTCATTATCTTTAGAAAGGATTTATTGCAGTAAACAGGACTGGCATCGGGCCTTATGGAACCCTGGTGGTTGCAGGGTTACTCATTGGGCTGTGATCTGCACGGTTGGGAGTTCAAAACCAGCAGAAGCTCCGTGGGAGAACAGTTCCAGTCTCTGACTCCCGGGGGAGGCTATGAGTCAGCATGGCCTCCATGCAGTGAGTGTGCTTTGGTGTGGAGACAAACACAGAGACCTGCACACGTGGCAGTGGAAGTGTGACTTCAGGGATTTCTTGTAGGGTCCACAGAAAGGAGAACCAACAATGGACCCACTCTGAGCTGGATTTAGGGGCAGGGTTTGTCCCTCCCATGCCTGCAAAGGCCCCCATAGAGGAGGCTGGGAAGAAATCAGGCAACCATTGAACACTTTTAAAGACCCCCAACTGAGCATGCACAGACACAGGTTTTTTGGCCCAGGTAAAACCAATATCTTAGACAAACCCACCTTAGGCACATCACACAGGTGGGCCTAAGATTGCCAATGGGGGTCAACCAATAGCATCCACCACACCTCCACAGCCAGAGGTTCGAATGATCCTGCCTGTGAGAAGGCCTCGCTCTCTTTGACTCTGCTCCTGGTCAGTGACAGGTGGACGGTGAGGGTCTCCATCCCCCGTGCTGGAACATATCGGCCCAGCCAGGCTCTTGGCCACATGGTCTAAGCCACTAGGGTTCTTGGACTTCTGACCTCCCAGAATCACCCCCAGTTCCTCACATGTGGGTCCTCTTTTCCACGTGGTTGTTTGTGTCCAGTTGTAAACCCAACGGTGGCTTTCCCGCAGCTTGGCTTGCTTCCCAGAACTAGCCGGTACCCTTTTGAGACCGTAACACCTGAAACTTTTCAATTCCTTCATAAAAACTCACTTGGATCACACAACGTGCTTTGGCATGAATTCTCTCAGCGTGTGAAGCAAAGGCCCGAGATGTCACCCACCCCAAACCCAACACCATTGCTCTGCAGGCAGGTCTGGCTCCGAGAGGCTCAACAGGACAGAAATCAGGTACCATCTTCCCTTGGGCCAGTCTGCACAAACCTCTTTCAAGTGTTAAATCGCAGAGACCACGATGTCAGTTTCAGGATCACGATGCACCTGATCGCGGCCATGGCATTCTGCAGCATCGCCTCATATGCCTGTCAACACTCGTCAGTGAGGAAGGAAGGCCCAGGAAGAATGGATGCCTTTGAATTCGGTGTTGGCGAAAAATATTGGCATGACCATGAACTGCCAGAAGAATGAACAGATCTGGCTTAGAAGCCCTATAGGCAGACTGCTGCTTGGATGGGAAGTTGGCAAGACTTTGCCTCCCAGGTTCCAGACATGTTATCATTGGAAAAGGACATGTTTGGTAGAGAGAGGAAAA